GCTTCCGGCCACCGCAGCCTCCACCTGCTGGGCTCCGGCAATCCTTCCGCCTCAGCCTTCAAGTTGCTGAAACTACAGGCGTGCGCTACCACGCCCAGCTAACTTTTTATTTTTATTTTTATTTTTTGATTTATTGTAGAGATGAGGTCTCGCCTGCCCAGGCAGGTCTCATACCCGTGGGCTCAGGCAATTCACTCACCTCAACCTCCCAAAGGCGGGGGATTACAAGCTGAGCCACTGAGCCCGGCAATATAATTTTTATACATACTGGTCATTTGTGTATCTAGAAAGACATTCAGCTAGGATAATCTGGGCAGTTTCACTAATTAGGATTATGATACTAAAAACACACAGTCACATTAAGGCTAATGAAATTCAGGAATATTTGCATAAATAGCATGCCCTTTTAGAAATTCTCTTGAGGCCGGGTGCAGTGGCTCACACTTATAATCCCAGCACTTTGGGAGGCCGAGGTGAGAGGATTGCCTGAGCCCACGAGTTTGAAACCAGCCTGGAAAGTTGGCAAGACCTCATCTCTACAATAAACGAAATTAGCTGGGCATGGTAGCACATGCCTGTTGTTTCAGCTACTTGGAAGACTGAGGCAGAAGAATCACCTAAGTCGAGCAGGTTGAGGCTGCGGTAGCCATGAGCGTGAGAGTGAGACTCCCACTCAAAAATAATAAATTCTCTTGACTGTTTTTTGAAAGATATATTTTGAAAATATAACTGCTCTCTGTCTTTTTTATTTCCTTTGGTTCTACAGAAATCATATGATATTTATTTATTTATTTTTGAGTTATGGTCTCACTTGTTGCCCATGCTGGAATGCAGTGGCACGATCACTCCTCACCACAGCCTCAACATCTTGAACTCGGGTGATTCTTCTGCCTCAGCCTTTCGAGTACCTGGGACTACAGGCGCATTCCATCATGCTTGGCTAATTTTTAATTTGTTTGTAATGACGAAATCTTGTTATGTTGCCTAGGCGGGTCTCGAACTCCTGGGTCAAGCAGTCCTTCTACCTCAACCTCCCAAAGCGTTGGGATTACAGGTGTGAGCCACCACGCCCAACCAAGATTGCATGATTCTGTACTTTTGTCTTTAGCAACATGTTGAGACTGAAGATACAAATAACTCAGAGAAAATTAAAATGATCTAAAATACACTGAACTGGAAGTTCAACCAGGAAAAAAACTGAAATTGTGGAATTTTTCGCTATGTGCTTATATTTATAATTTTTTTTCAATATGTATTTAAAGAAATATCATGTAGTAAAATAAAACCTGTACAGGAGACCACCAATATTCAATTCATCTTACAAAAATTATTTTCTTAAGCTACTGTCACATTTTTCTAAACACAGATTGATGATCTCTGGTTAAAAGCTAGAATTATTAAGATCCATTTTGGTGAAGTTTGTTGGAACTTTCCTCAGATTTTGTTTAAGAAAACAAAACAAAAATGTCATAATGCAGAAGAAAAAAGTTCCCAAATCTTGAATATTTATTCGAAATTTGACCCAAATATATAATTTCTCTTGGAAAGTCACTATAGCAAAGTACTTAAGAGTGAGAACACTGGAGCCAAGCTTTCGGAATTTGAAATCCTGATTCTGCTACCTCCTGACTGAGTGACCTTAAGCAAGTTAATTAACTTCTTTGTGCCCCCTTAGTTGCCTTATTTAAATAATGGGGGTAATAAAAGTGCCTCATACAGTTTTTAGGAAGATTAATGTGTTTATATATGTTCACCACTTAGAACAGCTTGGCTATAGTAAAGTGTTCAATGTTAACTAATTTTATTACAGATTTTAGTAATGTATATGCTGTGAAAAAGTCAAGTTTTTATGAAATCTATTTATTTTAGATTAATTTAGGAAAAAATGGAATATTTTTAATGTTCTTAATAGAGTCTCGGTATTTTTTAAGGTTATTGTGAAGATTAGAATTTATATATATAAAGTACCTAGCAAGGTAATGGGCATTCAATAAATTGCCATTGTTTCTTTACTACACATTATGGAGTTCTAGGTGTAACAGTTTGTGTATTATTGATTGAATTAAACAAATTAAATATTTAGCATTTCTATTCTCTATAAGTTATTTTGGAGCAATTTTCTACTAAAATCTTTTCTGTTAACACTAATAACATGTAAATCATTTTAATAATAATGATTTGAAGGTAGTGTTCTTTATGTTAGAAGTGAGTTTTTCAGTTGATAATGTTAGAATGCTATTTTCAAAGGGAAACTTTGAATAGTAATATATGCAAAAGAGCTTTGTAAACTGCAAAATTCTTTACAAATGCTAATTAATTTTTTCATTTTCAGGGGAAGAGAGGTTTTTAATGATTGATTTCCAGACACTAAAGAAATAATGTAGCTTAACATGTAATATCTTGAGTAAACAGTTATAGAAGAATATAAACAAAAATTTTGAGTTTTAAATCATTGAGAAAAATTAATGGGGAAGATTGTTTTAGACAACGAAACATTGTTATTTCTTAAACAGAATATTTGGAAAGTATTTACAAGATATTATTCTGTCAATATTCTTTCCTTTTAATGACTGATTAAGATGCACCATTTGGAGACCTTAAACTATAATGTCTATGTATGCCTAGTATCTGTAGCATGCCATTCTGTAGAATCTTGGTCATCCTTCTGGTGTGGCAATTTAAAAAATTTTTCTGTAATGTAATGTTTACATGGACCTTTGACAACTACAGAAATAGGTAATAGTGATGATACCGGTATGTTTTATTTAACATTATTAATTTTTTTATGTTTGCCATTAGCCTTTACAGAAAAGATATGAGTGCCCAGAAATTCCAAATATGTAGAATTGTTTCATTTTTTGGCATTTTAGCTTAGCTCTTAGTCCTCGTTGATTCTGTTGGAAGATGTGATTGTTTTACATTCAGTTAACCATCCAGAAAACATCATTCACACAGGTCGATTCTTCCTTATCCAAAACTCTTGGAGTCAGTTGTGTTTTTAGAATTTTTCTGATTTTACAAAAGTAATACAGTATACATACTGAATTTTATATAGTCACTCCAATTGAGCGCATGATGTTTCTGCAAAAAAAAGTATGAATAGTAACTCTGAATACCGTAAATAGATCCATGCCAGTTCAGGTCAAGTTTTACCATCAAAATTGTTTTGGCAGCAAGTTTAAACTCAGTTTTCAGAGCTTTTTGGGTTTTGGAATTTCAGAAAAGAATGATAGACCTGGATACATAATATACCTTGTGTGTGACGGCTGTGAACGCCTGTTGCCTCTGTGTTCTAATTCTTGTTATTTTGAACTGGTTAGTGCAATTTGTGCTACTTTTTGCCATCTCTAGTTCACTTTCCCCAAGTTAACCTAAATACAAAAAGGTAAGACAAATCTCAGAAGTATATTGATTGTTCAACATCATTTTTTATATGTAATTTCTGTATAACGAGTCCTTCCTTTCTTTCCTTCTGAATTCCATTTTAAATTAAGGCTATAATCTCACATGAAGGAAATTTTCTAGCAGACTGATTTGAAAACTTGAATGAAGAAGAGACTCAGATAATGATGGTGTTTTTACACTTGATATGTCTTGTATTTCCATCTTTAGTGTTCTAAGGGTCCTTTTCAATTTCCAGGGAACTCTTTATTCTTCTAGGCCAGAAAGTTTTCTCTCTGGGTACTCCAAATTTAAGAGAAATATTTCTTAAAAATTTATAGTCAGCCGGGCTCAGTGGCTCAGCCTGTAATCCTAGCACTTTGGGAGCCTGAGGCAAGCGGATTGCCTGAGTTTGAGACCAGCCTGGGCAACTTGACAAGACCTCGTCTCTGCAATAAATCAAAAATTAGCCAAGCGTGGTAGCGCGTGCCTGTAGTTCCGGCTACTTGAAGGCTGAGGCAGAAGAATCGCTGGAGCCCAGCAGGTTGAGGCTGTGGTAGCCATGAGCAGTGGGCCGCTGCACTCCAGTCTGGGTAACAAAGAGACTCCAACTCAAAAAAAAAGCTACAGTAGCCAAAACAGTACAGTTCTGGCATAAGGACAGATATATAGACTAATAGAACAAAATAGTTTGCCCAGGAAAAAACTCTTGAGTATGTGGTCATATGTTCTTCAATAAGGTGCCAAGACTATATATGGCGAGCGTGCCACTGCACTCCAGCCTGGATGATCGAGTTAGACTCCAACCCCCGCCCCAAAAAACTTATAGCACTAATTTCTTATTTTATATATACAGTAAAGCATATAAATTGAACAAAAGAAATTTCTTTTAAAATAATTTTAATTATTTAAATTCAGGATGCTTATTAAACTAGTGTATATCAACTAGTATAAAACACTAGTATAAAACACTAAAATTAACAAACCCAAAACTCCAGCAGTGTTATTTTAATGTGTTTTTCACAAAATACTAACAGATAACTTCTGACTAAGCAAATCAAACTGAGTGAGAATGACTTCCAATCAATCTGCCTTGTTTTGCCCTTTGCTTGTTGTTGGGAAATTGTACTTTCAAGGGAAATCTACTTTAACCTTTCAGCTTCCCATCACTTGATGGTAAACGTAGACAAGTAAGTATTTGGTTTTTATTTTTCTGTGTTCTGTTGGTTTTGCTTGGCCATCTTGAGTTGTTGATTAGACTTTTCAATTATAACAATTTTTTTTGTACTATTAGTGATATTAATTCACTTATTTATTCACTCTAGGGTCATGACCAGAGTTCAACTCTTGCTCAACACTCTGTTGAACTGACTTTACCCAATCACCATCCATTTCATAGAGATTTGCTCCGATATGCCAAGCTGATGGAGTGGTTAAAGAGCACAGACTATGGAAAATATGAGGGACTAACAAAGGTATGGATTAGACATCAGTTACTCACTAAATACAGAGCATTATATTTTAGAATCAAGAGGTTGTGTATTTATTCAGTTCCCCAAGTGTGAAGTACTGTAGTACTTCCTTAGCAAAGCATGGAATGATTGAGTATCTGAGGGCTTATTAACCAGGAATAACAGTTATTTATTGACTTGGATAAAGAAAAGCTAAATTTTGAACTTCCGCCATACTGTAGCCTGAAGTATCATTCAATTTAGTTAATTATTTCCTGAGTTTCTTTTGTACAGTATAGAAACTAGGAAGTGTGAAGATTGTGAGTGAGGGATTTGCCCTCTGAGAATTTATAATCTATTCTGTTAAAAAAATACCAAGTACCTTTTTATTAAGCAAGCATTTCCTATTCTAGGCACTTGGGGTCTAGCAAACAAGCTTCCACCCTAAAGAACTTTAAATCTGACTGGGAAGAATCATTCATAAAATAGCCAGCAGAAAATTAAGTACGAAGCTGAAAATGAGTTGAAATGTATGGCAGCGTAGACAAGGAAAGCTCATGTCTTGAAGCCATGGGGAAAACTTCATGGAAGATACTGGACTTCAGCTGAGTTTTGAATAATCAGTGCAATTAGATAAACACCAGAAATGAGAGGAGGTGCATTCCAGGGATGGGAAGCAGGAGGTGCAGACGAAAGTGGAAAAATATACCTGAAACAGCAAGCAGGTTAAGTGTGGCTGAAGCAGAAATTTTATGTTCTGGACCAATGAGAAATAATGTTGAAAAAGATGAACTGTGGAAGCCAGCAGCATTCTCCGAGCATGGGAAAAGGTTAGATGGGGAAAATTAATTAAGAACCCAATGTAATAATTCATATGAAATGAATCTGAAGCAAGAAGGTGGTGGTAGGAATAGAAAGAGAATAGAAACCAAAGAGAGACTCCAGAGGCAGAAGGAACAGGATCATGCTGGGCTTGGAGACTAGAGCAGTGGTGTTTATCATTGACCACAACGCAGTAATTGGTGATGATCAGAGTTGCTTTTTCATGTATTCAGTCAACAAATTGAGCACCTACTGTGTGCTAACCTTGTAAGCATTGAAAGAAACAGGCAAATACTTGCCTCCTTAGAGTACGTATTCCAGAGGAGACAGGGTAAAAGATTAATTATATAGTGTGTTAAAAGGTGCTGTGAGTGCTCTGGAGAAAATAAAGCAGGACTGGGGGAAGGTAAGGGAAGATTTTTGTAGAAAAGTTTTCTAAGCACAGTACGAATGCCATAGGCAGAGGGTGTCCAACGGGAGCGGAGAGGGGGCCAGTGTGGTCGGGGTACAGTGAGTCGAAGTGGAGACTGAGTGGGAGGCAGGATGGGTCTGGAAGGGATTGTGGACCACTGCCAGGATTTGGCTTTTATTGTGTGTAACATTACGGGGTGGAGGACGGGGGTATTGATGGGCTTTGATTGATGGAATGATATGGTCTGACTTCGGTTTCATAGCCATTGTAGCAGGAAGCCATACGGACAGTACTTTTATGACATTGATGCTGTGACCTTCAGTTTAGGAATTGGACATCATGTCCCTTTTGAGAAAATAGAACCAAAGAATTGCCATCTAATACATCAACAGCTAATTGTACCCCAGATAGTCCTGGCTGAAAGAGCAGTTTAATTAAATTAATTAATTAAAATTCTGAAATACCCTAGGAAGCATTTAAAATCTTTTATCTGTTTTTTGTGAATTTGAAGCTTAAAAACAAGAAACATGAGTAATGCATAAGCTATGTTAGTAATTAATAATTATGTGGGCAATATGACCTTAAAAGATGTCCTGGAATTGGAAAATACGATGTGTTTCGTCCCTGTGGAATGAGAATGTTATAATTGCTAATGTAAAAGCAACTTCTATCCAGTATTTTAGATTCATGCTTCAGAAGAAAGCAGAAGAATTACGTAATGATTTATGAGAAGTGTGATAATAAGAAATAGGCAAATTGTATATTCCTGTCAATGCATTGATATCAACATATTTGACAGTAGGACGTTTTTATGTATCCATTTTCGTGTATTTTCCCATTGAAGTGCCTTAATCCATTTAAAGAAAAATTTGGGTCACTCTATTTCTATACTGAAATCATAAGAAAGGGGACATTAACCTTGGTAAAATAAACAATATTTTTAAATTATCATTTTAAAATGCTTTTTAAAAAAATATTAATTCCCTCAGGTGTTCGTATACATCTTATCTGGCTAGCTATTTTAGCTAAGATTGATTGTTCTTCAGAATTAGTTTATTAAGTATTATGCAACTCTACTGTTGTATTATATTTTGTTTTGTTTTGTTTTCATTCAACAGAATTCTGATTTGGAGATATCTTAAGGAAAAATATTTACATTACTGGAATTCTTTGCCTTTTGAAGTTTTAGGAGGACTAATATTTTGAATAATTAAACATAAATTATACTTCCTTAAGAGTTTTCTTCCAACAAGTGCTTTGTCCCCTAGTGAATATTCAAATAAGTAATCAATAAGCTTTTTGCCTAATTGTGTTCTCAGTGAGTATTATTGCCCTGTCTTTATATATAATGCAGTATTCATGAATGTAATTTAAAGTGAAGAAACAAGACTATAGCCAACCTAGTGATGATTTATGGAATCATTGCTCAGAGTATATTTTTGATTACAACATTAATGAACTTTTTAAATGAAATTGACTTTTTCCCAGGAATGTTACTTGATCCTCTGGTTTGAGCTTTTGACAGGTTACGTATTTTTACCTCATAATCTAATTTGGTTGCCTAAGTGTTGTCAGAAATAGAAATTTTATTTAATAAAAAAAAAAAGAAGGAAGAAAAGAATGAAAGAAGAAAATAAAGACGGACATAGTGGCTCACACATGTAATCCCAGCACTTTGGGAGGCCAAGGTGGGAGAGTTATTTGAGCCCAGGAATTCAAGACCATTCTGGGCAATATAGTGAGACATCATCGCTACCAAAAAAAAAAAAAAATTAGCTGCCATGGTGGCAGCTAAGCTCCAGTTACTCTGGAGGCTGAGGCAGAAGGATCACCTGAGCCAAGGAGGGCAAGCCTGTGGCAAGCCATGATTGTGCCACGCATTCCAGCCTGGGCAACAGTGTGAGACCCCCAACTCAAAAAAAAACACCAACAACAAAAATAAAATAAAGAAGGAAACAGACAAACCAGTGTTTTTAGTAAGAAAGAAATAATACTTAATTAAATCCAATAGCTATTTGCAGTTGGTGGGTTATACGCAGCTTATACTTCTTGCCAGAAACAGGAAAAGGGTGTTCCAAATTCTTTGGGGATGAGAATCACTAGCCACTGCCCCCAGCTATTCTTAGGCTGAGTCTAAGCAAAGCCCTGACTTTTGGTATACACAACTGGAGCCTGGAAAATAGAGATAGCTCAGCTGCCAAGATTGCCTCTCCCCGTGACTACTACTCTGTGACTCCAGGTTATGCATGTTGGGCAATTAATAGAGATGGCCCATCCATGCTTGGGTAGGAAATGTGCTTTCCTCTCATGATAACCTCCCGAGAGGGGCAGTCAGTCTTGAAAATTACTCAGAAGTCTTCTCTCAGCCTAAGTTTCACATAGGTAGAATTTGCTTTATTGTGTAAGCAAAAATAAAACATGGAGATCTCTGAAGACTCTGCAGTTAGCACAAAATAAGATTGAAAAGACTGCCTGAGAGAACAATATTTAAACTCAAGACAGTTAAATTTTAGGTGAGTTGTTGTATATAAGGTGCTAAGAAGAGTACTTGCGTCTTTCGGTATCTGGTAAACGGATGAGCTGATATGGGAGTGCGCGTCTGTAGCCTTTGCCATCAGTGAGTTCTGTTGAATACTCAGTAGAACCAGGAAAAAAGGTATCTGGTCATTTGAGTCCCACTGAAAAAGTGAGACAGCCCCATCAAATAGGAATTAATTTTAAGATATATTTGCATTTGCATTTGCTTTCAAAGTTATGCAAAGATCATGGGAAAGAATTGCCCATTTGACTCAGTTTTCTTATAAGATTATGTGAGAAATGTCTGTGGCCTACAAACTGAAAAAGAGCAGAATTTATATCATGTTTGGTCCAAATGCTATTTTATAAGGATATACAAATAAAAGATCTAAGAAAATCAGTGGTGAACTATGAGTCAGTATACAAATACTTACATAATATGTATCTTTTGAAAGGTACACCTGATCTTTAAAGCAAGGTAAACCTGTTCTAAAAATTGATGTTTTTTTTTAAAGATACCTGCACGCACATGTTTATTGCAGAACTAATCCATAATAGCAAACATATGAAACCATCCACAGATGCATATTTAAAAGGTATTGACACCCAACATAGTTACGTAGAAGTTTGTAAAATGGAACCAAATTGTGTGTAAATACTTCAAAATTGCACATATTTATAGCAACACAATTCTAGGTGTGATTTACTTGAAAGAAGGAAAGAACAAAAAATGTCTAAAAAATATTTACTTGTGTATCAACACATATGACCACTTCAAAATGGTTAGAGCCACTAATATGGATAATAAATTGTATTCATTAAGTAGTTTTTTAGGTTTGAAATACACATACATACGCACTCATAAACAATTGATGTATTGATTTAAAATAATAAGGAAAGTTGAAGTTTAGATTTTATGATACATTTAAAAAAATAACTCAATATAGTTTTTCTGCTGTGGATTTATTTAAATGTAGTAAAACTCTGTATGACATTTAACATGAGAAAAATATATGGTCTCTCATTGTTGAGGAACTCTTCCTGAGAGTATTACAGCCGAGCTCAGTGGCTCGGCCTGTAATCCCGCGCCTTGGGCAGCTGAGGTGAGTGGATTGCCTGAGCCCACTGGTTTGAGACCTGCCTGGACAACTTGGTGAGACCTCATCTCTACAATAAATCAAAAATTAGCCAGACGTGGTAGCGCGCACCTGTAGTTTCAGCTACTTGGAAGGCTGAGGCAGAAGGATCACCGGAGCCCAGCAGGTCAAGGCTGCAGTGGCCGGGAGCGGCCACTGCACTCCAGTCTGGGCGACAGAGTGAGACTCCAACTCAAAGAAAAAAAAAAAAAGATATTTTTACATGATAATAAGCAGATATGATAAAGAAATGAGTGAGTATGCTAAATGATAGGTATTTTTATTTAAGCAAGAGTTAATCAAATATGTTTTAGAAAGAAAAATTATTTAAATTATGAAAACTGTGAGATATACTAATTAAATTCTTACTAAAAATAATCTATTTTAGGGTAGTACCTCAAACTGACAGAGGGTCGTTGAAACCACGTTTTCTCCTTCATTACCATTGACATTGTATTATTGGTATAACTGTTTTTAAAGCAACATAGTAGTATGGAGGGCGATCAATAACTATTCCCTTACTCTTTGACCCTGTAACGCCACCGTTAAGAAATTATTTCAAGGAAGCAATTTATTAGAGAGGGAAAGCTTATTGTAACATTGTCTATCATAGCAAAACATTGAAACCACCTTAATATCCTACATTAGGGACTTGGTACACCTCCAAAACAGTACTGTGCTGTCATTACAGCATGAGACTACAGAAGTGTGATTGCTCTGATTTAGGTATTCTGTACAGGATGATTGCAACAATATTTTAAATATGCAAGAGGTAATATAGAAAAATGAAAATGTAAGTGTGGTTATGTTTGACTTCATATTTTCGTAAATTGTTAATGTTATGATGCCTATTCCGTTTTTTTAAAAGACAGAAAATACCTGCTTTTTTATATCCTGTGAAATGCATCAAAGTTTTGGACCACACAATTTAAAACAAGCACAAAGGATTTGGGGGAATTGAAAAATGGAAACTGTGATATGTGTTTTGTTAGTAAGAAGTACGTGTTACTTTTATTTTAAGAATTACATGGATTATTTATCCCGGCTATATGAAAGAGAAATCAAAGATTTCTTTGAAGTTGCAAAGATCAAGATGACTGGCACAACTAAAGAAAGCAAGAAGTTTGGTAAGCTTAGGCATGTCAGCTCATTCTCTTCCTTTTAAAAATTGTTTTGTTTATGACAAATACTTCTTAGACTTTTTAAGCAAAATGGAAGAAGACACAATAGACTTCATGAAAGAGGAGTCTAATACATGGTGTGATTTATGGCTGTTTTATAGAACAAATATTTATATCTGCAAATATGTTTTTTATTAATTAATATCCTGTAGTACGTTAATATGACAGCAGTTGTGTATTAATGCTCTAATTAAAATACATGTATGCATAGGAAAGGCAGCTGGTGAGAAAATGAACTATAGTCAAGTAGAGACAGTATCAGACTGAGAGACAGATGTGTTGAGTTCAGTTTCTGATTCCCTGGAAGACCTTTTATAATAGTTGGGACCAGTCACTGACTGATCTCTTAAGTCATTGCTCTCCACAGAGAAATGAAAGTGATTCCTGGCTTCTTACTCCTCACTGATTATTTTGAATCAAAAGGAAGTTTAAGCATTTTCTCCCTTCCAAGGGGCTATGGAACTGTCACCAAAATTTCGTCGATGATTGTACCTTATTTTTCTAAAGAGATGTATTTGAAGCATGTTATTTTGGTTGCTTCTAAACATTTTAACTGGACAAAAACATTGTTTGATAGAATAACCAGTGAAAGTATCAAGTTCTGAGGAAGATGATTTGCCGAGGCCACATTCTGCTCTTGCATGTATCCATCTCTGGGTTCCTTTTGGATGGAGTTCTGTGCCTATTCAAGTCAAAACCTGGCCTTAAACGGCTACATTGTGTACTCTAGTGTGTCTGCAAAGCTCCCCTTTAGACTAATGAGTTTAGCATTTGCTTGTTGAAAGGAGCCTATGCCCTAAGCAACTTCGCTAATCAGGAAACAGGATTGAAAATTATAGCATGTTTCCATTCTTTTCTGTGGGACTGAAAAAACTGTCTTTAGTGGGTAATGATTTTGTGATTCACTTTCTTAAAAAGTAGGCTGAGTAGGGTAGCTCATACCTGTATGTAATCTCATCACTTTGGGAGACCAAAGCAGGACGACTTGAGGTCAGGAGTTTGAGAACAACCCAGGTACCAGGTAACAGTACAACCACATCTCTACAAAAATTTAAAAAAAAATACTCAGCACGATGGTGCCTGCCTATAGTCTCAACTACTCAGGAGGCTGAGGTGGGAAGATCGCCTGAGCCCAGGAGGTCTAGACTGCCGTGAGCCGTGATCGTGCCACTGCACTCCAGCCTGGACGACAGAGTGAGGCCCCTCAACTCAAAAAAAAAAAAATCTTTACAGATACTAATAAAAACCTTGGGGCAATAGGCTTTTGGAAACAGAAATGCTAACTCATCCTAAAGGTTAATTGTTCTTAAACAGCAGTGTGTTTATATTCTTGTTAATGTTTCACTGTGGATATGTTATGCTTTTTTTTTTTTTTGAGTAAACAGCATATTATTAATGCAGTTACATGTTTAATGTTTTCATTAAGTATATTTGTCACCACTTGTTATTAAACCATCTTATTTTGAGAGGACTCTTTTTCAGAATATGAAAACTGGAGGTAAAAGAGAAATATTTCTAAAATTGTTTCCTGAGTAGGTCATTAATCCCAGTATCATAATAGTTTATCAAATCTAAGAGCCACATTAAGATAAATGAAATAATAAAAATATAACTTAGGTCACCTACATGATATCTTAAGACTATCATTGCATTAACTTGAAACCTAAATTTTTTATTTTCTTAATCCTTCAGAAGTTATTAAATTATCAAAAGTATTTTTAATTCGCATACTACAGGTTTAGAAGGTACTTTTATAGTTTTAAAACTATTAAAATTAAATCTATTCTGTGTACTTATTAAATAGTAAGGAATAGGAAATGATGGTATAGAAAATTGTGCTTACTTCAGCAGCACATACACTAAAATTGGAACATTGCAGAGAAGGTTAGCGTGCCTCTGTACAAGGGTAACACACACATTCATGAAGCATTCCATTTAAAAAAATTACAGTATCAGTTATTTTGATATCAGCTACAAGAGAAGAAAAACTAAACAATTAAGAGAATAAAAATTTTAAAAATAGTTTGATTCATTTTTGAAGACCTGCCTTTTAGCTAGCATTTAAAAAATCAATTTCAAGTTAAATACAAATAACTTGAGAAGTTCTAAATAAGGTAGTATGTAAAGTTTTCCAAAGATATCTTTTCAGTGACTCAAATTATCTTTAAATGAATCTTTAATAGACAGACATTCCCAGCTTAAGATGGTTACGATTTTTCGACTTTACAGTGGTGCAAACGCAATAGGTAGTCAGTAGAAACCGCACTTCAATTACCCACAGAGCCATTCTGTTTTTTGCTTTCAGTACAGTGTTCATAAATTACATGAACTAGTCAAGACTTTATTGTAAAGTAGGTTTTGCGCTGGATGATTTTGCCCAACTGTAAGCTAACGTAAGTGTTCTGAATACATGTAAGGAAGGCTAGGCTAAGCTGTGATATTCAATAAGTTAGGAATACATTTTCATTTACAATATTTTCAACATACCATGGGTTTATCAGGATGTAACCTCTATCATAAGTTGAGAAGCATCTGTAACTAGAATTAAAATGGAAATCTCAAATTTTGGAAAGATAACTTTTCAGTGAATCAGAATTAAATAACTATAAATGAAATTTGAACTTGTTTTGCTCTGAAAATTCTGGCTCCCAGATGCTGATGAGTATGGATGCTGATAAGAATAGTCAGCATGAATGTAACTTACAAAAGGAAACTGTATACTCAGTAGAGTAATAGAGAATCAAGGAATAGGGAATTCTCTCTTTTTGAACCACTCTTGACTAAGTCTTTTACATTTACTTAGTTTAAATAATTCAAAATATGTTAAAGTGGGAGGAAAGTATCTTTTGTTTGGAATAGGGTCTTTATGTAGGTTATTGCTTTTTTTGATTAATAGATTTACTTTGATGTTCTCTGAGGCATGGAATTATTCCCCCCCAGAATTGATATTTTGGTGTGTATTTTTTTTCTTTGTATTCCCTACATTAATGAAATGGCAGGGAAAGGAAATTTAGTAATTATCTTTAAAATCACCACTTTTTTCTTTCTATAGTTAAGATATATAGATATATGTAAAATATGTAAGATTTTAGTTCCTTAATGTATATATTTACATAATTATTCCTCTCTCTCCTATTTATATTCCAAAATCTTTAAAATGGTGAGCCTAAATTACTTTGTCATTATATCTCCATTAAAGTAAGAAATCTTGTTGATCCCAAAGGGAGTCTTGAATACAAGACTGAATTCAAAGCTGGTTAGAAGATTAATTTGCTAAATAATTATTAACTACCTATTAGCTAATAAGCACTGTTCTGGGTACAGGGAATGCAGCATTGAGCAAAGGCCCTACCTTTATGAAGCTTATAGTCTAATGTGGATTATTTAAAAATATCTAACATTTTACCTGAGTGTTATCACTTGTTGTTGACAAGTGGTACAATCTGTTTTTTGAGGCCCAAATTATAATTAATAGGCACTGCTAGTAACTCTGTATTCTTTACTGGCTACTAAAAAAGGAAAACTATATGAAATATTAGGCTCTGCTCTAGAACTGGTGACACGTGAAGGCCACCAGAAGTAGTGTTTGATGGGCTAGCTAGAGCTGGTAGATCCAGCATGAGCCCTGCTTCCACATTGACCTCCAGCCTTGTCTTTTCATATGCCCTTAAGCTTCAGGTAGCCAGGCTGGGAAGGTACACATGTCACTGGTATGGCAAGTATATTATATTTGGGCTTTTGCCTTGAAGTTGTCAGGGATAATGTTAGTTAACACATTGTTCTCTGTTTTTAAGATGCTTTTAAGTTATAGTTTTATTATTTAATATTCTGTTTCATTCTATGATTTTTCTTTACCTTTCACATCAATTTCCATTTTGAGTTTAGGATATTTCACAAAATGAGCTCTAAAACATTTCTAATAAATACTATACAGAGAGAAGTTTTAGAATAAAAGAAATGCCAAATGACCCTAAAGGAGTTCCAATTCTTACATTAAATCTGTTCCCTTGATGTTACCCTTCCATCCTCACATCTGATTGTTAATATTATAATATATATCTTTCATTCTAGGTGTTCACAAAGTCAGTTACTAAATTATCCAACTTAATAATTGGTTTTAATTTTAACATGGTTTTAAAGCCCCACTCATAAAATATGTTAGATGTAGGATGAAATTATTTAGTACAGTGGAGATTCCTTTCAGGAGCTTTCAGAGAATACAATATTGTTAATATCTAAATCTGCAACTTCATTCCAGTAATTTCCACTGTAATAAATTGTTTGAACTGTGCTTTCTGAGGAAACCAAAACTTGCAAATTCAGTCTTTTAAATTTAAGTACATTAGCTTCATAAACTTTTTTTAAAAATCATTTTAAAGTATGGGGGTTTGCAAATATATCTGTTTTACCAGAATACTTGAGTAAAACCAATACATTAAAAGTAAATTTTTTCTCTCATATAATATCTCAAACAGTAGGTGACCAACTAAACGTGTGTTTGCACCTCTCGTGACTTGACACTCATAGTTCTTTGCATGTGTCTTTTAAACTAGAGCTTTAACTTCCTCTTGTGCATGGTTCGTGCAAATTGCAGTTTATTAACTTGTCTTTGTCTTTGATGCTTGCAACCTAATCCATCACAGCTACACTGCCTCGAAAAGAAAGTGCTGTCAAACAGGAAACAGAGAGTGAGTATGCTTAGTGTATTAGTAGGTATTCTCAATGCATGTTTGTTTCATGTCTAGGAATTAGTTGTTTGTCTTGAAAAAAAGTGACCACCAGAAGTTTTGATTGCTCTAATATTGCCAGATATTGGTGAAAGAAAACCAGCATGATGGTACTGGTATGGCTACAACCAAGAAATATATAATATGGTTAGAACTATTTGACGAGTAGTAGAACTTTGTGTCAGAATTTCATGAGAAGGCTTAACCATTATACTTCTGTTTTCAGGTTGTTTAAAAACTCTATAAAAATTCTTAATAGATATTGTCAGATTTTATATAATGGAGCCAAAGTTTATCTTTAATTCCCCATTTTGTATTCATTTTCCCTTCTGACCATTAGCAAATAGTACAAGTTAACTAAGAAATATTCATAAACAGAGGTTTAAAAATATCTTAAAAATCAAATCCTTTAATTATTTGTTGTATGTGAGCTATTATTTAGTTATGTGTTCTCATTTTTCCTCATGGCTGTGATGGAAAATGAATTCTACCTCAACGCAGATGTTCTATATTTATATGGTTAGGGATGTATGATTACATCTCAGTTGTGTTTTAAATACAAGTTTTTCAGGGTGTTTCTTTCTCTTTGTTTTGTGTAGTTTTTAAAGGACTATAGTTAATCAATTCGCTTACCGGAATAGCAGAGTTACAGAGTTCAGAACACATGAGGTTGAATCACACGTAATCAGCTTTTTTTCTTTGTAGAGCAAAATAACCAAGTATGAGCAGTTTCAAGTGGTTCAACCTAAATATATTGATGTAATGGGGAGGCGAGTAACATTGGAATATGGCACTTTTCTTCCAAAATAAAACAAAGTCATCTTTAGCTAGTATGTTAGCATGGTACTACGCAGTGACCTGTCTTTGAATGGGAAAGAAATCCTCATCTATTTCAGTCTAGACAGATCACCAAGCAACTTTATCTTTATGAACTGGACAGGAGTAGGCTATATAATATGATCTGTAAGGTCCCTTTCGGTCCTATTTTGTGAATCTGGGTAGTTTTGCGTTTCTTTACAGTATTTCAGATTAGGACACAAATGTTAATGAAGGTAAGGACACTGTAGGACTTATCCCAGGTGGTAGACTTGTGTACTAACTAATATGAGCCCTGGAAGACCAAGCCAGTAGAAGATAGAAAAATGTAGACCTGACTTATATTCTGTGTCTTTTATTCATGAAAACCACAACTTTCAAAGTTTTGTTATTTCTTAGGTCTCCATGGAAGTTCGGGGAAATTAACTGGATCTACTTCTAGTCTAAACAAACTCAGTGTTCAGAGTTCAGGGAATCGCAGATCTCAGTCTTCTTCCCTGTTGGATATGGGAAACATGTCTGCCTCTGACCTCGATGTTGCTGACAGAACCAAATTTGATAAGGTAAAATAAAACGAGAACTTCCTTTTCTTCTGTTTTATTGTGGTAAGAACAATCAACATGAGATCTACCCTCAACAGACTTTTTCACTGTCAATGGAGTAGTTACCTACAGCTGATCTCTAGGATGTATTCATCTTGTGTGATTGAAACTTTATACTCGTTGAATAGCAGCTTCCTTTTCCCCTCTCCTTCCAGCCTCTGGTAACCACAATTCTGTTCTTTGCTTCCATGAGTTGGACTATCTTAAATACTTCTTAGAAGTGAAATCATGCATTATTTGTCCTTCTGTGACTGGCTTATTCCACTTAGCATAATGTCCTCCAAGTTCATCCAGGTAGTTGCATATTGCAGGATGTTCAGTTTTTTTGTTTGTATGTGTTTTTTTTCTTTTTTTATTAAGGATGTGGGGTACAATTCAGGGTTAGGTACATAAGTAGTTGTTGTCAGGTAAAGTTTGGGCCTCCCATTGGTCCTCACTTCACCTGGTTTGAGATCAGATACCCTTATTAGTGTTAATGTGCCTGCCCCCTGTCCCATGGTAGTCACCCGCTATTGCCAATCCCTTTCTTCTATCATAACATTATGATAAATGTTCAGGGTCCACTTATGAGTGAGAACATGTGGTACTCAGTTCTTTGTTTCTGTGATAGACCACTGAGTATGATGGACTCCAAATCCATCCAAGTTGCTGTGAAGTTCATAATTTTGTCCTTCTTTATAGTTACATAATATTCCATCGTGTATATATACCACATGTGTTTTATCCAGTCCATTTTTGATGGGCAGTACGGGTGGGTCCATGCTTTTGCTATTGTGAATAGTGCTGCAATAAACATGCATGCGCAGGTCTCTTTTTTGTAGAATGATTTGAGTTCCTCCAGGTATATTCCCAGAAAGGGGATTGCTAGATCATATGGAAGGTCAATTTTTGATCTTTTAGAAGTCACCACACTGTTTTCCACAGAGGTTGTACTAGTTGATGCTCCCACCAACAGTGTAGAAGTATTCCTTTTTCTCTGCATCCTCTTCCAACATCTGTTGTTTTTTGATTTATTAGCGATGACCATCCTGGCTGGAGTTAGGTGGTATCTCTGTGCTTTTGATTTGTGTTTCTTTGATGATTAGTGAGGCTGAGCACTTTTTCAGATATCTGTTGGAAGATTATATGTCTTCTTTTGAGACATGCCTGTTTGTATATTTTGCTCACTTTTTAATAGGGCTGTTTGTTTTTTTCCTTTCCACACGTTTGAGTTAGCCAGTACTTCCTAAACATTGACATCAATATTCTTTTCTGACACCAGTGATTGCTTTCAGTGTGTTCAAAGATTTGTGTTCTTTTAGCTCTCTTAAGCATGAACTATGTCTTTCCAGCGGAATCAAATCTGAAAAAAAAACTGTTAGTCAGATGACAATTAAAATGTGAATTACCAATTAAATAATATAAAACCTTTATTCAAAATTAATATATCATAAAGTAGTTTGCATCTCAAATCTAAGTTGTTTGAGCACTTGCAAAGTAAAGAGATAATAACAGGTTTTGTGAAGCTAACCTGGATTAAATAAGTTTTAAAAGTTTATGTTCCTCTTTCCATATTTGAAGTGAATAATTGAGTTTTATTTTAGGTATGTTCCTTGGCCCTGTTACACCTTGATGACAGCATCGCCTTGTCAGTCCTGGAAGAATTTGTCTTTGGAATTCTGTTGAGATCCATGGATAGAGATTATTGAGATTGTAAATCTATGGTCCCTGCAGAAAAGGGAATCAAATATGGAATGTTATGTTAAGTGTTTGGTGCAGTTCTTTCACTATGGGATCATTTTGGTTTTCTCCAGATCTTTGAACAGGTACTAAGTGAATTGGAGCCCCTGTGTCTGGCAGAACAGGACTTCATAAGCAAATTTTTCAAACTACAGCAACATCAAAGTGTGCTTGGAACCATGGTATGGCTCACATTTAATTTGGCTGGTATTTAGGGTCTTTAACATCAGTAACCTAATATGTGGTCGCAATTTCATTATCAAAACAGAAAAGAAAAGAATTTACAGTGTAAGGATTTTCATATAATTTGTGTCATGCCACAAGATAATAAAAACAGTGATCGTTGGAGTCTGAGCATCTAATTTAATATGTCAGAATGTCATAAACCTAAATATTCTTTATATTGGTAAGGAGAAAAAAAATGCCTGAGTTTACTTTGCAAATAACATTTTTTAAAAATTATGTTAAAATTTTAACATTTTAGAGGTTATCATGAATAAATATAATTTTTAAAAGATGAAGTTTGAGTTCTGTATACCATTATACAACAAAAAAAGAAAAAGAGAACAGGAAGAGAAAGTGAGTCCTCAGATCTGAATCTTTCTTATGACTTTGGTGCTAATAGCTATGAGATTGTACACCAAATAGTTGATCTCGTTTTCCTCTTCTGTAAAGTAGATATAATAATGCCTATTTACCATGCCTTTCAGATGGCGTAAGTGTAATCTCTTATATAAGATGAGAGATTTTCCAGAATATTTTGAAGACCACAATGCAGATAGAGTGATTTTTAAATTAAGATCATCTCAAAAATTTATGACTAAGATAACCAACTTACAAAAAGTCATAAAATAAAGAGACGTTCATTGTTACTACAAATGGTTTGGAATTTGTTGTCAGTGGTGGTAGTAGTGGCAAATTTGCTTACTTATTGGCTTCTGTAAGAATTTTTATTTTTAAGAGACAAAGTCTCACTATATTGCCCAGGCTGATCTCAAACTCTTGGTAAGAATTTCTTTTTTTTTTTAGTTGGAGTCTATGTCACCTAGGTTGGAGTACAATAACACAATCACAGCCATTGCAGCCTTGACCTGCTGGGCTCCAACGATCCTTCCGCCTCCACCTTCCAAGTGACTGGAACCACAGGAGCGTGCTACCATGCCCAGCTAATTTTTTTATTTATTGAGATGAAGTCTTGCCAAGTTGTCCAGGCTGGTCTCAAACCTCTGGACTCAGGCAATCCTCTCACCTCTGCCACCCAAAGTGCTGGGATGACTGGTGTGAGCCACTGTACCAGCTGGCTTCTGTAAAAATTTTTAATAGCATTTTTTTAAAATGCTGAAGTTTTATTTGAATGTTCAATGAGATTCCTTTACTTTGTTAATTCTCTTTTGAAAGGTGATTTTCTATATTTTCTATTTTTTTCGTTGAGCTGCCCTCCTTTCCCATACCTCCCACTCAGCCTCCTGTATCCTCCCCTGCTCCTTCTCGTCATGTGCACACACACAGACACAACCTCTCACCCAACAGAAATTCTCAGGTAAAAATCTAAGAGCAAAGCAGTTTGTGAACATTCTTAAACGGCATACTAAATTATTTAACTAGCTTTATCAGCAATGCTACCTTTAAAAATCATTATTTTTCATAATGTATTCTCTCCAGGGAATTTCAAGACTGAGTAGGCTTCTGCTATATAAACTTGTCAAATTGTTGGTCTTTTATTATGTAAAGCGCCTGAATAATTTTTGCAGACTGAAGCTGAGGACCTGGATGGAGGAATGTTATCGCGGCAGCATAATTCTGGCACACCACTGCCTGTTTCATCTGAGTATGTGTTTATTACTATCTGTTGTTTATTTTGGAAAAAATAAATTGCTCGTTGAGGGATCCAGATGATTCTCAGTAGTAACCTGACAATACACAAAGCGCTAAGATGTGTGTCCGTTGTCTTACTGAACATTTTGCTGGATCAAAGTTGGACCTAATACATGGCTCTGCAACTCTTCCTTGCTCCAGAAGTCACAAAAACTGCAATCAGTTCTGATGTTTGCCAGGAGGAAGTCTCCTTTGAATTGCGATGTATTTCTGAGAAGTCACAAAGCACATTTCAGGATGCAACTTTACAAATGATGTTAAGCTAATTTGAGTGATTATACTTAAATGATAAATTATTTGATATGATATATTTTTATATCAAAAACTTCTGTAGACTAATTAGTTCATCATATTTGAACATTTTTCATTGAACTTTGATTGTGTTATCTTAGTCATTTTTTATATCCTTGGTGGGTTAAAGTTAAAGGTGAATTCCCTGAAGCTCGTAATAACTTTCTACATTTTGTATGTTTTCTGAACAGGAAAGATATGATCCGCCAGATGATGATTAAAATATTTCGCTGCATCGAACCGGAACTAAACAATTTAATTGCGTTAGGAGATAAAATTGATAGCTTTAACTCCCTCTACATGCTCGTCAAAATGAGTCATCATGTATGGACGGCACAAAATGTAGACCCTGCTTCTTTTCTAAGTACCACATTGGGAAATGTTTTGGTGACTGTCAAAAGGAACTTTGACAAATGCATTGTAAGTTTTTTTTAAAAAAAAACCTTAGAATTCTAATCATTGCAAGAACATAGGTACATTTAAATCAAGGAATCTCCAGCTTTCTATTGGGGATCTATTGTTCATGTGCCTTAAAGCTCGCTTCAAGCAAGGTGTTGGCAATAATCTGCATCATCAGTTTGATGGCACTGTGCCAGCTAGTTTCCCTTTTATGCAGTGAATCTTGGCAAGTTTTGGAGTAGGTGGCATGGTGGCAGCAGCTAACCAAGAGATCCAATGGGTAACTGGCATCTCAGTTTACTGATCAGTGACCACTGATTTAATGAAGCAATTGAAACTATCACTTAGATTTACTGTTGTTTGTTTAGGATATTCTAATAAGAAAATTAATTTGATTACTTTAATTGATGGTGAATTTATTTTAATTAATAATTTCATAGCTTTAATAATTATCTTGCTTTGTTTTAAGCATAAATTGTTCTGGTAACTTCCAGCAATTATTATTTTCCTCCTAATAGAAACAAACCAGTGACAACTTTCTTATTGTCTATTAAATTTTGGTAAGTTTGTAGGTATGAATTAGTCTGGGCCAGGTCCTTAAAAAAGTTTCATTTCATTAATGTACTTACTAAGTAAAAGTAGATATGTATCATCTGAATATTTCTACTACGTAACCTCTAAGTTATATGCAGCTCTTGAGTATTCATAGAATAATGGGAGATAAAAATATTAAAGACATTTAAATTCATGTAATTTTTTATTCTTTTAAAAAATATTTATTGAATCTTTGAAAGTATAAAAGCAATCTCTGTCCACTGTAGAAACTTAAATGTCACCTCAATAGTCTTGTTAATCTTCCTCCCCTACCAAATGATTTTGCTTGGTATTTAAAATACTGTGAAATTTGACATTTAAGGTTTATCCTACCCTCCACACCCCCTCACCCTGCTTCTCCAGAAGTGATGATAGCCCAGGGAGGTCTGACTGCAGGCTGATAGCCAAAAGGAAAAAGAAGAGCTACCAGAGACTAGGATCATGAGTCCCATATGACACGGTTGGAATACTAAGCCATAAGGACACTATGCGTTTCCAGAGTATAAAGGCTTAGTTGCTTTTACCAGTAAAATACAACTTCATATAGTACCTCTCAACCCAGTAGAACCTAGGATGTGGTGACAGGTAGATGTCGATGTGGGTTCAGATGAAGGCTTAGCATATGCCTGGCACAGAATAAGAGCTTGCTACTCACTGATAGCTTGTAGTGGAGGTGGTGATGGCAGTAATTAGTAATAGCTTTTTAAAGAACAGTCATGTTACTTTCAAGACAGGGCAGTAAAGAAACAAAGTAACCTAGAAAAAGTATAAGTTCACATTTTCTTCTAATTGCAAATAAAGGACCTACCTTTTGCCACTAAAGGATGTTTCCTCCTGCCTGTCATCCCTCTCTATCTCTTCCTTTAACGCAGGCCTTCTCACTGTCTGGTAGGTTGTATGTGTTTAGTTAGTTGTATGTGTTGCTCTTTGGGAAGAGAGCAGGATTTAGGGCATAAAGAAGTTGAAAAGGTAATGAACAGGTCTACAGGTATTAAATAAAAAGCATGAATGTCTGAGGGCTGCAGAAAATGGAACAAATGGCACCTGAGTTTGGCCATTTCCTCTGGTGCCCAAGCCCAGAGTATCTCGTGTTTTTTAAATAAGAGGGCTAGCCAGGCGTGGTGGCTCACACCTGTAACCCCAGCTCTTTGGAGGCAGAGGAGAGAGAATTGCTTGAGCCCACGAGCTTGAGAACAGCCAGGAAAATTTAGTGAGATCTCGGCTCCACAATAAATTAAAAAAACTAGCTGGATGTGGTGACACACACTTGTGGTTCTAGTTAATTAGAAGGCTGATGTGGAAAGATCGTCTGAACCCAGCAGGTCGAGGCTGTGGTGGTCGTGAGCATGCCAGGAGCATGCAACAGAGTGAGATTTGCCTCAAATGAATAAATGAATAGGGCTAAAAAATCTACCCTTGTGTGACAGAATGAGACTTGACACAATTGAATAAACAGGGCTAAGAAACCTAGCGTTGCTAAATTCAAGCTAAAACTAGAAAATAACTTGCACATCAGGTATGATCAAGCTGAACTCTGCAGTACAGTACAGTTCTTAACTGCGTTTGGTTTTCTTTTCAGAATTCCTTACACACATAAATGTAGATGCTCACTCATAAACATTTGAGAATTATCTGACCTGGTTAAATTGCCACTAACTAAGTTCACAAGCAATACGGTGATGTGTGGCTATCATCAAAGTTGTAATCTTAAAACACTGAGTAACCTCCATGTCCTTCTCATCATAGCAGTATGACTGGGCAACCAACTGGAAATCATGTAGATCTGCAGCTTGTGAGAAATTCGGATAATTTTTGTCAGAATTTGTTCAATGATGGTTTTTTTCTGAAATGAATGCTCTATTTCAACCCTCCTTGTAAAAAAGCCAGAGAAGGCAACTGTGACTTAGAACATTTCCCATTAATATTCAGGTCTATATCCTGTACATTTAAATGCCACACAGAATAAAAATCTGCATGCGGCTTATAAGGGATCAGAATTCATCAATGAGGTCTTACCATGTACTAGACACAGGACTAAGCACTTTGCACACACTATCTCATCTAACCCTAACCCATCCCACCCCAGTAAGGTAGGTGTTTTGAGAGGGGAAGTTACTTTCCTCTGGACAACAGTTAAAAAGTGATGGATCTGTGCCTGAGCCCGCTGGTTCGAAAACAGCCTGGGCAACTTAGTGACACCGCATCTCTACAATAAATTTTTAAAAATTAGCCAGGTGTGGTAGCATGCGCCTGTAGTTCCGGCAACTTGGAAGGTTGTAGCGGAAGGATCGCCTGAGCCCAGCAGGTTGATGCTGGGGTGGCCATGAGAGTGCCACTGCACTCCAGCCTGGGCAACAGAGTAAGACTCCAATTCAAAAAAAAAAAAAAGTGATGGATCTGGTACTGAAACCCAAGCAGTTGGTTCCAGCACGTACAATCTTCTACTTTCTTTACTGTAACTATTTTTATACCTCACAGTTATCAGTACTGATGAAGTGTAATATCAGTAAAAGGTAATATGAAATTGTTGATTGTACTCACAGTGCTCTCTCATTCTGATGCCTGCAGCCTAGGGATAATTATTTTTCTAATCCACATGTCATGTGCTTTTCAAGTAATACCCCCAAAATCTCAATACAGTGAAATTTTAGGTAGAAGTTCAGATGATCCAAAACCGTTTGGCCGTGTAATTCTTACTATGAGTAGATCTGTATCCCCTTAGAATTATAGGGAACCATAATTGAATCCATGGCTCTTTTGGAATCCAGATGTCTGGATTCTGTTCACATAAAACATTTCTTTTGTGCTTTGTTACCATCATGCTCAAGCACTTTGCTGAGTTAGCTTAGAATAACTCATAAATATATGGAAACTGTATAATGCAAATCCATAATGGAAATGCCTTTCCTCTGTTCCTACATCCCAAAAATAGAGAACCTGTCTATCCAAACAAATTTTTTTCTTTTTTTTTTAATTTTTAATTTTAAAGCTATGGGGTACAATTCAGGGTTAGGTACACAAATGTTCATTATCCAGGTGCCCTTTTTGATGTGGTGTGCCCGTCCCTCCCCTGGCAGTTTCTCTCAACTGCCAATCCCACCGCCACCCCGCCTCTGCAGTTTCCACTACTGCCAATCCCTTTCTGATAGTATTATGATAATTATTCAAAGTCCACTTATGAGTGAGAACATATGGTACTCTTCTTTGTTTCTGTGATAGATCACTGGGTATGATTGACTCTAAATCCATCCAAGTTGCTGTGCAATCCATATGTTTGTCCTTCTTTATGGCTGCATAATACTCCATTGTGTATATGTACCACATTTTTTTTTTATCCAGTCCTGTTTCAATGGGCAGCATGGTTGGTTGCATGTTTTTGCTATTGTGAATAGTGCTGCAGTAAACATACATGCACAGGTATCTTTTTGGTAGAATGCTTTGAGTTCCTCCGGGTATATTCTCAATAGAGGGATTGCTGGGTCATATGGAAGGTCAATTTCTAGTTCTTTCAGAAATGGCCACACTGTTTTCCAATGAGGTTGCACTAGTTTACTTACGTTCCCACCAGCAGTGTAGAAGCGTACATTTTTCTCCATATCCTCGCCAGCATCTATTGTTTGTTTTATTAATGACGACCATTCTTACTGAGGTTAGGTGGTATCTCAGTGTGGTTTTGATTTGCATTTCTCTGATTAGTGAGGCTGAGCACTTTTCCATGTATCTGTTTGCTGTCCATATATCTTCTTTTGAGAAGTGTCTATTCATGTCTTTTGCCCAGTTTTTAATGGGCTGTTTGTTTTTTTTCCTTACGGCACGTTTGAATTCCTTTGTCAGATATAAATTTGGCAAATATTTTCTCCCATTCTGTGGGCTATCTCCCCGCTCTCTTGATGTTTTCTTTTGCTTTGCAGAAAGTATTCAGTTTGATGAGGTCCCACTTGTCTATCTTATCTCCTACAACATGGGCACTTGGGGTTTTGATCAAAAATTGGTTGCCAGTTCCAATTTCCATAACGGTATCTCCTGCATTTTCTAAGATTCTTATAGTTTGAGGTTTTACGCTTACGTCTTTAATCCATTTAGAGTTAATTTTTGTGTATGGTGATAGGTAGGGGTCCTGTTTCAATCATCTGCATGTGGACAGCCAGTTTCCCAGCACCATTTACTGAATAGGTTCTCCTCTCCCCAGTGGTTATTGTTGGAGGCTTTGTCCAAAGATAAGTTGGTTGAGAAATTGAGATTTTGCTTCCAGAATCTCTGCCTATTCCATTGCTCCATATGCCTGATTTTATACCAATACCAGACTGTTTTCATTATTGTAGCCTTATAGTAAAGTTTAAAATCTGGAAGTGTGATACTTCCTGCTTTGTTTCTTTTGCTAAGGATTGTTTTGGCTTTTCATGGTTGTTTATGCTTCTTGTATGAAT